TCAGGTTAAGCAAAGATTTTAGTGAACAGAAACTGCAGAGCTACTGAAATAGAAATAAGACCTTTTCAAGGCTTAGTAAATATAGATCTTCTTCGTTGCAGCAGAAGCCAATCGCAAAAGTCTACTTTTTTTTTTATCACTGAAACGTTTGGCTATTATACCACATCTCCTTTCGCTCAATTCGATTAGACGTAGATCGTTTCCCCAAATAATAATTGATAGGCAGTCAAAAGAAGTATATGAAAAAAAATTTCTTCCGTCAGTATACGGTGCAGAGCAACAGAGGTATGCACTGCTTATGAGACTGCAGTCTGGTTTGGTTTTTTGTGCTTTAAAACTGAACAAAAAACTTGAAATTACTACGTAATAAAAATAGATTTTTATGACAGAAGAATTTGCCGTAGCCCAAACACAGATTTGTTGCCGATCCAGTACACTGTATCTCAGATCACTAAACAGAAGGAAAAAAAACAATCATTACTCAGACGAGAAGAAGAGAAATTAGGACCAAAAGTGTTGAAAACAGCAAAATATATAAGTTTCTGCCAGAAATAAGGTGTTCAAAATGAATGCTATCAAAACTCAACAATACAAAAACGAGGGGAAAAGTATTCGTCAAAAAAACATATGCTTAATTGTGCACGCTGGCAAAAAATCAGTAACAGGAACTGCAACATCAGCAATACCACAATCACCAAGGGTAAATTTTAGTTTTTCATACAAATTTATCTATTTATTCAACTCAGTTTTTAACTCGTTTTTGTATTATGAACCAACTATGTTATATTATAGATCATATATCAAGAAAGAAAAAAAAAAAAGAGACCACATACCAAGAGAATGTTGTTCATTCAATTAAAGATTTTCTCCTAACATTTGCTATTGCTAAATGAAAAAATAAAAGAAAAAAAAAAAAGAGCTCGGGGATTTCGCACGTTGATTTATTTTACTGCTGTTATAGCAGTTCAAATCTTCACTAACACACTGCTTTGCAATTCCATTTCTAGCGTCTAATTTTGCTGTTATTTAATACTTCAAATTTCATTATTTTTTGCTTTACTGAAAACACTAATAACGATATTAATGTATTCTGCAGTTATTCAATTTATTTTTTACTGTTTATTTAATGAATTAATAGATGGATACTTTGTTGGGCGATTAATTTAGCTTAATGAACGATCAGGCGTGCAGCAATTGATTGAGTAAAACAAATTACTGGAACCAATCATTCAAATTTCATTTAGATCTAAATTTTAGATACAGGTTAACAACAACAAAAAAAAAAAGAAAAATTTAATAAATATTTGTCAAAAAGTCTATTAAATCCTTTGGTAGCAGAAATAATATGCAATAACGTATGTATCATATAATAAAATTATTCGTCCACCAATTTTATTTTATTTTTGTTTTGTAACTGAATAAAAAACTTTGTCTATTGCAATGCAAAATCAATTATTCAATTAGCGAAAAAAAAAATTAAACCTATTCAGATCAAAGACAGTTGTTACTGTTCAAAGATTTTTATGTTAAAAAATCAAACAACCTTATCGCTCATTGCTGCTCTAGAAAAAAAAAAAACTTATAACTTGAAGCTGATTGATGCTGAAGCATTGAAAATTTTCATTTAAATTTA